CTTACAGCAGTAGTTTCTTACAGCAGCAATACTGGCCAAATAGCATTCAGTGTAACACTAATCTTGGTCATATATATATTACAACAACTTGATTGTTAAAATTTCTGCTGACTGCCAAATATTCATACATGTTCTAAAAGCCATCAAAAAATGCATTTTGTGTGAGCATAATTGACTTAAGATGTACAAACATGAACAAAAATGCTAACCTAAAATTTGCATTTTATGAAAGTTTATTAGTGCCTAAAATTTTAATAAGGAAATCAGGAATCCAACTATATTTCCTGATGCAGCAGCAAAATTACAAGTTCTGACTTTTGCTATACAGATACAAACATAGGCTGCCTGTGGTACATGCATTCTCAGCATAAAACTTAAAATGCCAGGACTCTCTTCAATCCACATTTATCAGCAGCAGTGACTATAAATTATTCATCATCTAATGCTGTCAGGCACTAAGCTACATGCAGATGTATGTAACACACAGGTAATTAATCAATTTACAAATGAGGAAACAGATGAAATAAGCCAATCAAGATCACGTAGGTTGTAAGAGGTGAGCATACTTGAGAAAGGAAAGGTCTGACAGTAAAGCTCATGCTTGCTCTCTCATTCACTTTTTATGTACAACGAGTAAGAAAAAAAATGCACTAAGAAATTAAGTTTTTCTAAACCCTAATACCACCTAAAATCAAGTTGAAGATTAGGAATGAGATCTATTACCTGGTACATGACTGACTCTTTTACTAACTGTCCGATTTTCAATTGGGAGTTAGTTAGCAGTATCTGGGTCCCAGGCCTACTGTGAGACTTAAGCCAGTCATTTCCCTCTTTGAGACTATATCCTCAAAAAAAAACAAGGAAAAAGAAAAAAAGAATAAATGCCTTGAGCCTCACTGGCAAAAAAAATTAAAATTAATCTAGATCTTAAAAAATAATGAAATTATCTGGTCCCAATCCACCCTATTTTCCAGTCTCATCTTTCAATGTACTTCACGCAAGCCTAGTCAAATGGGTTTACTTTCTTTATTCCTGTTCTATGCCTTTGCACACTGACTACAAGTATGTTGTGCTTCACTGCCTCCATGCCATTCACTTTTGAAATCCACAAACATTTTGCCTCCTATTTCAAACATTCGATTTCCTCTGTGAAGCACATTACCTGCAGTAAACTGGGGTTCCAGGCTGAATGCTTACAGTACACACTATATGCCTTAATCCCAAATTAGATTATAAATTAACAGAATAGGGACTAGTCCTCACTTGCACAATCACAGGTACAAATACTTAAATGAAGAGAGCAGGGTGGAGAGAAGCCAGATCTGAAGGCTAACACTGGTGTTTAAAGAAAATGGGGGAAAAACACCCCAAAGTTTTCTAACATGAAGGTATAGAATTGACCAGAGCATTTTGCATCCATTTATACATACAACTAACTTGCTATTATTACCATAAACATGCAATTTTCAGGCACTGAACATTGAAGCACATTATCTGTAATTTGTACAACAAAACTGAGTGACTATTATATGTCAGGAGTTTTGCCCTTTGGCTACAAAGATGAATGATACACCATCCACCAATATCTCATAAACTAACAGAAAAGAGGAATATGAACATACAGTGGGATAGGTACAGAATTAACAAAGAAAAGGGAAAGTCATTTTCTGGAGATAAAAAAATAAGAGCAGATATTCAAACTTGGGTCATTTTAACTTAGGTGGTGGTTCATAAGCAAAGCCAGATGAAAGACCCTGCACGTCATAGGGTGTGTTTGAGCTTGATCCTCAAATCTGGTGAACTAATTGAGTGTTTTAAGCAATAAAGATTGTTTTGGAATGTTTGATTATATAAATTAAGCTAGATGGGTAAAACCATTAACCAAAAAAGGAGACACACGGAGAAAAGCTAAGAGGAAAAAGTTGTTTTGAATTATGTTTAGTTTGAAGTAAGGTATTCAGTAGTTCCAATTAAGTTCAGAGATGATAAATTCTGGAGTCATCAACAGGTAAAGGTGTAGAAATTGATTAATACAATTGGTGAAAAGGGGCTAAGGACATAACACTGGGAAATACCAACAATTAAGCAGAAGAAAGCAACTAATGAAAACAGGAAGGACAGAAGTAGCAATTAGAAAAGGGTATAAGCATATAAACCAAGGAGTTTTAAGGAGGTATACTGTACGGAATCAAATGCTGTAAGTTATGTAAGTCCATCCACATCCGGAGTACATAAGAATATGAATTTTCACAAATGTTCTAAATGCAAATAACTGCATATAGTCTTCTCTTGTTCCCCAGGAATAAGTAAACTTACGTAAGAGGATGAGTTTGTGGAGAAAGGTAACTAGTTAACTTTTAGACACTTAAAAAAGTCCACAGCTGGCACAAGTAAATCTTTAACTTTTTATGTTATGGGTTGAGTATCTCGTCTCAGCCATTTAATTTTCTTGTAAACTACGGAGTAGTTATCTTGTCAATCTAATTGAAAATATAAGGGCTAGGAATTATGTTCCATATGTCTTAAATATGTAAGAATGCAAATTATTTCACTGAAATTAGAGCTGGAGTTTCGATGTATCCCAGGAACAAAGTAACCGGAAGAGAAAAACCAAAATACAGTTTTAAGTCCAAGACACAAATATCAATGTACTCTGGCACCTTTAAAAATAAGTACTTTTGAAAACAAAAAATATTATAGTCTTATCTCCATACAGTTTAACTTGATTTAAGCTTCAGTTGTATGAACTACCATATACACTCGGTCCATAACCAGTTTATTAAGACCAGCAACACGTAAGAGAAAGCTGTTCCCTAAAAGTATATTCTACACCTCAAAAAGACAATGTTGACCACCTCCCTTTCTGTTTTGTGGTGTGCACACAATGAAGGAGCAAACAGCCCTCCTAAACCCAGTTTTCTTTTGAAGAAATATAAATGCAAGATAAACTCTGCATACTTCAATGCTTATGACAAACATAAGCAATGAAGGAAAAACATCATAATATACTCTTAAGTCACTCGGGAGAATGGTGGGCTCTATAAACTTTTACCACTTTCCTAATTTGCTGCATTTAGGTAGAAGCAGAATATTATTATTCTAGTTTCCATGGTAAATTACTATACTTAGATGTTTCACATTTGAACTAAATATAAAAAGTCAACAGGGAAGAGACTCTGGGCCTGATCCTTTTGGACAGTAGACGGCTAGTAACTTTCAAAATGTTTTTAGATACTCAAGAATAAACTTACTACCTGTCCTTAAGAAAAATAATCAGGTTGATTCAAGGTATCCACAACAACCCTGCAAGTTTGACCACTATTTGCAAATATGGATTTCAGGTTTAGTGTTAACATAAACAACACCTTGCCTAGGAAGAAAGTGATAGCACTCACCTATTTTTTGCCCCAGGAAGTTAAACTAATCAGGCTGTGTATGCTGTTTAACCATAACATATTAAGGTATGTTTAATGGTTTCAATTCAAACAATTCTCTGATACAAATCTTTTCACTACACTTAGAGGACATTAGTCAGGGGTGAGGGTGATAAAGGGAAATATTTTATATAAAAGAAAAATCCAGTCAAAGTCACATGTAATTCAGAATATCTCATGTGAACTTTCAGTTTTAGCAAATATGTCAAAAGATAAATAGGCAATGACTATTCAAAATCTCTCCAAAAGCTTTAAGAGCAGACAAAATGGTCATCAATGTTTGCGCTAAAATCTCCAATTTGTTAAGTCTAACTGCAAAGCTTCATTTCACACACAATTTTATTAAGCCCTATTATTGGAACACCAACCTTATAATACATAAGACACATGTAGCTACTAGAGGCTGGCACAATGACACATCTACATAAAAGACAACTGACAAAAACACTAGGGCAAAATAAATTGCGTCCTCTAGTATCAGAGCAAGCTGTACTATATAATTTGATAAACCCCAAACACATTAAGGAATTATACACCCAAATAATCACTGGTGTTTATATACTGTTGAAATTTGTACGTTAAAATGTCCCCTAGATGTGAGAGAGATGGATGTTGAAAAATAGTAAGGCCCGTTTCTTTCTTCCCATCTTTTTGGGGGGCAGCACTATCTCTATCCCATCAGCTCCCCCTTCCCCCTTCTCATACTTGAAAAGGGAGGAAACCTTGCTGCTGAGATTCCTTAACCCTTCATGTCTTCTCAAAACTCTGGTGGTCAAGAGTTTTTTCAAAAAAGTCTGAAAGCCAGTATTTTATAGTTTGTCCCAATACAGTCTATTTGTAAAGTGCCTGTTATCAGTCTCTAAAGAAAACACGTACACCCGAATGCCAACCAAGTGTCAAGCACTGGGAGGGTCATCAACGTAAAGAATGTCTCATTTCACTTGGGAGTAGGGATTTAGAAGTTTCAGAGGCAAAGGCTCAAGTTGTGTGGGAAGAGGCACTTCAGGTAATGTGGACAAAGGCACAAAGGTGTGAAATAGCAAAGCATTCAAGATGTATGCATTTTAGCCTATCAGGGAATCTCTGCTACATTATAAAATTACTCCAACTGTACAAGAGATGACAGTTTGAACAAAAACAGGTAAAGGCAAATTGGGGTAAGATTTACTCGAATAATGAGCTATATATTGAGAAGCAAAAAAAAAAAAAATTGAGGGAATGGCTGAAAAAAGTTCTCAGGAATTAAGTACCAAGCTTGGTATTTTTATGAGTTGAGGAAGTCTGTGGCTCCCAGTAACCCTAAACATTCCACCTGGAGCTGAGATGAAAATTTGGGAGTTTAGAGGATAATAGGACAAATGAAACCCAGGAGAGAATATATAATGCAAGTAGGTAGACAAAGACAAGTAGTCTCAAGTAGTATTTAAAATGCCACAGGAATGTAAAGAAAAGGTAGAGCTCAAGAGGTTCATGGATTTAGCAATCTGGAACAACGAGGACCAAGCTGATTAAAAAGTACAAAACAAAACAAGGATTTGTTTCCATAGCTTGAAATATGGCCTCTTTTCCTTGTAAGGGACAGGGAAGCTAGAACATTCTGAAAATTATCTTTGAATCTACTGACTTCATGTTTTAGTCCCTCTTTTCTAAGCCAAAACAAAACTGCTTTAAAGGTAAAGGAGATATTACCTAACTTATACATAGACAAATAGATCCTTCAAGTTTTTCAAGAATTCTTACAAGCAAAATGCCCATTTTATACTGAGTGGACAAAAAAAGATTTTGAACTTTAAAATCTTTGTACTACTTACAATATTAAAAATTCAATCTTGTTTTCAAACTACCAGGTCTACAACTAAGACTAAGACTAAAGGAGACAGCACAACCTTGACCCCAGGCTGAACTCATCTTTTCAGGTCCAACAAACATTTCCTCCTAGCACCAAATAGGTGTTCAGTCAAAAAACAAGCCAGGTTTCTGATTTCAAGTTTCATTCAACACCACCCGGGGAGAGCCCTTTTAAATCTTCTATCCAGTTCAGTCAATGGCTACTTATATTAGTTTGTCTAAGTGGGAATAATCAAAAACAAAATTACTCTTTTCTACTGCATCTGCCAATATTGACCATAAGAACCTTTGAACTACTGGAGATCTTCACCTAGCAAGGTTCCTAAAACTAAAATTAATACTCATACAAAATTGACTTAAAGAGGTAGACTTTAATATGTCATAATGGTGCAGAAATCTTAATGAATAAAATTTACCAAAGTGATTATAATTTAATCTTTTATTTTAAAAACCATAGTAAGACAACTTAAGACTAAAAATATTGAGAACAGCCTTACAACTTCATATAGATATATATATTACAACACTAGCAGCTTTTATTCTGTGTTACTAATCATGCCTAAATTAAAACAAATCCATTGATCGGATTTAACATTCTTGTAGGACATATAGATAGGGAGGAAATGGGAAGAAAGTACAGACGGAAGGAACAAGGAGTTTGAAAAGGGCCCTCAAAATTCAAAAGCTTGGTTTCCTGTAACTTTTAGGAAATTAACAGTGTTCCTGGGTGTTACGACGCCTTTTGCACTTGCTCCCAAACTTAGGAAGTATTTTGCTTTTCGGATCCGAGAAACTTACACGTTTTCTAAGAAAATAACTGATACTCCTTGACGTTGTGGCCCAGGAGCTAGACTCTCCTTTTTACTCAGTCCAGTGGCCCTTGCGGACTCAAGAGTTGATTCCGACTCCCACATTAGGGACCTGCCACCTTACGTAAGTATGCTTCGCAAGGAGTAAGGTAGATAAGAAAGCAGGGCGCCAAACCTTTCCCTCCACCAACAGCCGTCACACCCCATTAAGGAGTGGCCCTCCGGAGGCTTTCCCCTGGGAGCCGTATGGGGGAGGGAAAGCACTCTCCGACAGTCATCTCTTCCTCTTCAGGCCGCCAACGCCGACCGCACCACAGTCTCCTCCGCCCAAGCCCTTTCCCCTCCCCCGCCCCAGCCTGGGTCTGAGCCAAACCCCACAGGAATGCAGCCCGGTCACATGCGCTGCGGCGGCGGTGGACGTGCCTCTCCCCCCGCGCCCCAAGGAGACCCAGCGCCATCTTGCCCTGACGCAGTTACAAAAGTCAAGGGAGAATTTGTGTCTCCTCGTCCGCGCCAGCGCCCCGAAGTTTCGCAGAGGCCGAGCCGGGGCCCTCACCTCGCGCAGGGACAGGAGAAAATAGTCAGGGAAGAGCCTTGAGATTCTCTTCGCCACTGCTTGTGTTCCAATTCGGCCGCGGCAGCAACGATCACCATCGTCACTTCTCTCTCTCTGCCTTTGCAACAGCCTCCCCCGACACTCTGGCCCCACCCGCTGCTGCAGCATGAGGTCACCGCTAGCCAATCACGGAGCGCCCGACAGAATGCCTCAGGCACTGATTGGCTGCATAGGCCGCCTCTGCCTCTCCCGACTCCGCTTACTAAGCTCTCCTAGCCGCTGTCGGGCGAGAAGACGGAAACCGCCATTTCGGGGAAAGACCCCGAAAACAATTGGAATCACCGTGTCATTTTAGTGGGGAAACCCTTTATTCTTTGGCCTCCCCTTTATTTTCTTCGAGAAAGCCACCTCTGTCCCTCCCTCATTTAATCACCGCCACATAAAGGAATTCCCGCTCCCCTCCCCGCACATTGTCCCGCCTGCGGGGAAATCCTTCCCCGGGGCCAAAGTAGGAGGCAGCAACGGCAACTGCACCGACGGCAACGGCAGCTTTTTACCCCGATACACGGTGGCAGGGAGGCGGCGCTGACGGTGGCTGTATTTTTCCTGCTGCTTCTCCCCCCGATCTCTTCCGTTTCTCGCTCCTCCATCGAGACGGCGCTGGACTCGCCAGCTCCGCTTTTATCTGGTGCTCGGAGCCTGCGCACTGGAGCCTCCTCAGCCCCTAGTGGGCGTCGAGTGACACCCCAACCGAGTTCACCCTGCGCTGGAGGCCAGACTGGGGTGGGGGGAAGACCGGAACTGAGATGGTTTTGGGAGTGGGAGAAAATGCATTGCTTAGGCAGGGTGCAGAGAGAGGAGTCTTTTCCAGGGCCTACTGTCATTATCCTTCCACCCAGTAGTGGCGCGCCCAAGCTCACAGATACCCAGACTAGGGCTACTCAAGGAAAGGGGATAAAGAGCCAATCCCACCGAACACCGAAACTTCCCAGACCTTCGA